TTGCAAAGCAGTTATCTATTTCGGTGTCGGTGGTAAGCAGTTTGTTTTTTAAACATATTGATTCTTTCTTGGGTCTTTCTCTGTTGTTTTTGAAAGTACGTTGGCTATCACTTTGGTAGTTTATATTTGAGATGAACGTGTCGAAGGAAGTCTACTAAGCTTGTAAGGTGGCTTGCCTTAGGGCAGCTGCTTGTCGTCTCCAAGCTTGTACGTCTTCCGTTCTTCCAGTCTGATCAGAGTTCTTCCAGTCTGATCAGCAGTTTTGCGAAGGGCGTCTCTGATCAGCAGTGTTGCGAAGGGCGTCCCGCTTTCTTTTAGCTTCCTCAAGGTGTTTGGACCAAAACACTCGATAGTGTTTATTACCTCAAGGTGTTTAGACCAAAACACTCGATAGTGTGTAATCTTGCCTCGGGGAATAGTTTTCTTTGCACATCTAATCATGAGCCTCGGGGAATAGTTTTCTTTGCACATCTGATCATAATACTCGGGTGTTTAGACCAAAACACTCGATAGTGTTTAGTCTTCCCATAGTTTTCTTTGCACATCTGATCATAATATTCGTGATATCAGTACAATCCTGATCATAATATTCGTGATATTAGTGCAAAGTTTGTCAGAGTGATATCAGTGCAAAGTTTATCAGGATGTTGGTTGAAGTCGATATCATTGCAAAGTTTGTCAGGATGTTGGTTGAAGTTGGGTATCATTGCAAAGTTTGTCAGGATGTTGGTTGAAGTTGAGAGGCCTTGTGTGAAGTTCATTCTCTAAATGTTTGTGAATCTAGGCCAGTCAGCCTTCTTGAAGTTCCATGATAGCTTAGTTGGCACTTTCCATGTCATGCTTTTGCTGCCGAAGGTAATACTAGCAATGACTGGATTGTGACCAGAACCAGGATCGTCAATTATTTTGCGGAGTGTATGCTCGCTTATGTCGGTTGAAGCCAAGAGTAAATCAGGAGTTGTCCTGGTTCCATTGTAGTACAAATATGTAGCCGGATCCTCATTGCTGTAAATAAGTTCCAGAGGGTTGCTGTTTAGCATGTCTTCGATTTCCTTTCCAGCTATGTTTGTATCCTTGTAGCCCCATCTGGTGGAATGGGCGTTGAAGTCTCCCAAAACTACAGTTTTGTGTGAGATGTTCAGAAAGTAAAAGTTGGGACAATTCTGGGGTGGATTATAGACTGCATATATCTTGAAGTGGTTTTGACATTTCCAGATATTTAATCTGATTATTTCGCATGTCTTGTGTCGAGTCCATACTCTTGATTAGATCGTAGTGTGACGTGAGGCCTTCTTTTACTCCAGTTAGAATTCCACTTGCAACTTGCCGGTATTTAGGTAGAAGGTACAGGGTGTAACCTGGGAATTGGTAGTACTTCAGTTTGTCACCCGAAATGTTAGCTTCCATAATTGTGAAAATGTCTACATCATAGGTTTGTAGGATTTTCTGGACTTGGATATTTTTGCCCTGTGACATCCCTCCAGTATTCCACTGAAGGATCTGTAGACGTTGTGATTCGTCCTGATGAGGGCGATTTCGCTTATAGCCTTGTTTCAAGCTAATCGTAGTAAATCGAAGTCAAATCAAATGCCGATTGATAGACTTTTTTGCCGTACGAAGATACGTTGTCCAGGGTGCACCACGTGGAGGAAAGTCTATCGCGCACCCCGAATAAGGAAAATAATCGATTAGAAATACTCTTCAGCATTGCTGTTTATCTTTGCGTGTGTTCTCATTACTTATCTCCCTTGAAACTAAATTCACTTCTTTAGAGTGAAGGAAATGGAACTTATCATTTAAATTGTCTTTCGCAGGAATTTAAAAATATGAATAAAAGTCGGCAAAATTCAATAACTTAAAGTTGGAATGCTCAAAAGGAAGTGATCCATGGTTAGTTATCAGCCTTAATACGAGGGGAAAGATTTGGGGTAAATTGTAGATCGATTTTCACGTAAATGCACTTGTCGTGGAATTATGGATTGCTATTTTCGAAAATGTGAAGTGAGTCAGATTACCATTCTGTATCCTTATTAAATTTGGCACCACCACGCCAATCTATCAAACCAGAGGTCACGAAGTTGACACCTTTAAGAATTATAGGAACTAACCGCATTGGTTAGTGTTGGCACATATAGGGGGGGGGGGGGTTGGGGTATAAGAAACAGTCAGGTGTCTTGGAATCTCCTTATTCTAAGGTGAATGGCTGACACAGATTCTTTCATATTGGTTAAGGAACTTATGATTAAATGTTCATTTTTCCTTATAAAGGCTTCGGTCAGCATTATTTGGGTGGTCATTTATCCTGTAACTAATTTATGTTGATTTCCTTCCATAAACCAAGGTTATAGTTTGCAATTATTTCTATTATTCTTAAGTTGAACAGCAAAAGTGTTCCATTTACAGAGTAAGGGAACGTGAATCTTATCCCCGAAAACACATATTGCAGCATAATACAAGTCTATAAGAGTGATTAAAAAGATTCTATTCACTTAATTATTGGCTTTGAAGTCGACTCTAGCAGAGTTGTAGACATCGAATCTCCAGAGCAGAATCTTGAATTCGTCTGCATTTTCCCAAACCCACGTTTGACCTTCACTTAGAAGATGAACTAAT